CGAAAGTTTAGAGTTTTGAAAAAAAAACCACTATATGTTATAAAAGTTTAGAATTGCTGAATTATTTAACTTTAAGAAAAAAATATATTGTTACAGTTATAGTATTTTTTTTTTTTTTTGTTGCTGTTATAGTATATTTTTTTTTTTTTTTTTGCTACTGTTATATTTTTTTTTTGCCACTACTACAGTATTTTTTTTTGGCATTGTACCAAATCTTTAGTTCTTTGAAGAAAAAAAAAAGAGAAATGTCTTTTATAATGAATAAAAGTTAGAGGTATTAACTAAAAAAAGCCTATTACTAAGATCTAACACTAAAACTAACCCAAGAGTCATTATGACGAAAAGTAAATTACTATGTAATGCATAATAGTATTTAAAAGTTAATACGTAGTATTTAAAAGTTAATCGTAACATATTTTATCTAATTATTTTTTTGTATCACCTACTACCCGTGATACTGTCACTTGCGTAATAAATAACTTAATCCAAAAAAATAATAAAAAAAGAAGATATAAGTTAATAAAATTTTTTTTGAAATAGGTAGACAAAATTGTTCTAATCACAAAACTAATACAACAGATCATATCTAAATATTTTAGTAGTAACTAAATAATGTTAAAATTAGGAAATTAAGTAGATTATATAATCATATATAACTTGAATATAGCTATAGTTAACAACTTAATAAAGTTTATGATATAACTATCAAATATTCGAATAAATATTCAACAAATCAGACTTCTACTAATATAATATCAGATATATAGAAGTATATAAATAGAAATCAAGCAAATTTTTTTTAAGTAAATTTTTTTTTTTAAAACTTTAAACTACAATAACTTAACAAAAACTTAATCAAATTTAATAAAAAATTTTTTAATTAATTCTACAAATTTGTAGAATTCATTTAAAAAAAATTTTATAAAATTTGATTAAGTTTTTTGTTGAGTTATATTGTTTGAAAGTTCAAAAAAATTTCAATAAAAACAATTTGCTTGATTTCTATTGAAACACCTCTGCTTTAAAATTTATAATCTAAATAATTATAAGTTAATAGAAACCAGAAACACAGTTTACTTTTTGTATGTTAAAGTGCTAGAGTGTAAAATGAAATAAAAAATAAATTTAATATTATATGGATCCAAAAAATAAAATAATAATAACTATAACATATTAGCTAACTTGGTTTTTGGAAGCCTTTTTTTAATAAACTGTTACATGAAAGTTTGCTCCTAAATAATATTAAAAAATAGATAAAAAACCAATAAAAAATCAACAAAGGACTATGTTAATTATTATAATAAAGCGATAATAAAAATTTACAAAAAAAACTTTAAACAGTATATTTAAATTGACTAATCGGATAACCGCATCTGTTGAAATTCAAAATTTTTGGCATGCCTAAATATAAAGGCCAAAATAATTTTACCAAATCGAAAAAAAAAAAATCAAATAATGACTCTATAGAGACGTCAAAGAAACGTAAGCTACACAAAGCAGATACTGGAAACTCGACGAAAAAAAAGCATAAAAGAAATGAACTTATAGACGTAAATGACCTTGAATGGTCTGAGGTTACATATCCAGAATCCGTATTTCTAGGTGGTGAGGATGATTTTGGTGGTTTCCTATGCTTGGAAGAAATTGATAACGTTGATGTGGAGTATGAAGGAACAGCTTCCCAAGGGAATACGGTTAGGTTTAAGGTTAGATATTACAAGAACCATTTTCATGTTTGAAGCGATATTTTTATTTTTAATTTTGGCTTTAACATTACTAATAAAATTAATCAATTATTTAAAAGAAAACTATAACTAATAAAGCGACCACTAAAAAAAAGAAAAATCCGCCTGCAAAACCTCATGAACCATTACCTACAGAAGAGTTACCAAAGTATTATGATTTGGACACATTTGATGAACAATTATTATCAAATAGTCAACATCAATATCGTGATGTAGCACCTGTCTCTTTTTCTGATGTAAATTTGGTGTCAGAAGAAGATGGTGAGAGTTTTCAACCTGGAAATGAAAATAAAATTGGAGAAAATTCGAAATCAGAAGAAATTGAGAAAACTTCTGTTCTTGAAATAAAAAATGTGGAAAATAAAAATTTAAACGATGGTGAATATATTGACACTCGTAAGCTGTTTTTTAGCATTTTTTTTTTTTTTTTTTTTTAGTATGAGTTTAGTAACTTTGAGATATGTGCTATTATAGATATAGATATCTCTGCCTGGAAAGAATTTAACCTGTCTTCATCTATATTGAACGGATTGAAATCTCTCAAGTTTGAAAGACCAACACCAATTCAAGAAAGGACTCTTCACGCAGGTTTGAACGGGCGAGATGTAATTGGTAAGGCAGAAACAGGGTCGGGAAAAACACTCGCCTTCGGAATTCCAATATTGGAGTATATAATAAAGCAAAAAAAAGATTCAGAAAAACAATTGGCGGCACTCATTCTGACGCCAACAAGAGAATTGGCTATGCAAATTAAAAATCACCTTGAAAGTGTTGGCAAATTCGCTACAAACAATGTAAGACATTCATTCTATGCGAGTTTAACGAATTACGCTTAAAACTCATTTAATCCCCTTGTTTAGATAATGACAATTGTGGGTGGCATGGCAATTCAAAAGCAAAGGCGATTACTTGAAAAGAATCCTAATATAATTGTTGGTACTCCAGGACGATTATGGGAACTTTTATCCGAGGTAACATAAGTTAATTTACAAGCGTTATATGTTTTTCAAAAACTTCATGAATGTCATTATAATTTATATTTCACATAGAATGATGAGTATCTAAACGCAATTAGCCATATTCGATTTTTGGTTTTGGATGAAGCAGATAGGATGTTAGAAGCTGGGCATTTTAAAGAACTGAATTACATACTTTCAAGATTATCGAGGAATAAAAAGTGAGTCTATTTCTTCATTATATTCATTAATTTATGTTCTAATTTTACAAATAATCTTTTTATAATTACTAGCGAACGGGATGATAATAAAATAATACTAGATGATACAAAAGGTGAATTAATTAGATAGTAGTTTCTTAACTATTTCTATAATGCCCAACCAACTTCATTAATCATAACTTAAAATTTAGATCTCCCTCCAAGACAAACATTTATATTCTCAGCTACTTTAGATAAGAATTTAAAAAATGAGCTAAAACTGAAAAAAGTACATAATGAGGTTTCAAATTCGCAAGGAACGATTGGTAAGAGTAATTGATATTGATTTATCTTTTGTTTTTTAAACACTACCAAATTTCCAAATTTTAACGGTTTTATGTTCAAAATAGCTGAACTGATGAACAGAATCGAATTCAGAGATTCTAACCCATTATACGTGGATATTACACCAAAAGGTTCTGTTGTAGAAACTCTGCAAGAGTCGAAGATTGATTGTTTAATTGGAGAAAAGGTATGTATTTTGCGGTTGTTAACAAACCACTACAAATATCACTGTATTAAAGTGTTGTAATTACTTAGGATTTATATATGTATTATTTCATTACACGATATCCCGGAAGAACTCTTGTGTTTGTGAACAGTATTGATGCGATTCGTCGGTTGATCCCGATAATGCGATTACTTAATATAGAGGTTTTTGGTCTTCACGCTCAGATGCAACAAAGACAACGGTTAAAAAATTTGGATCGGTGAGAGATTAATGTGTTTATAATTAGAATAATTTGTTTATTATTAAGTCCGTATCAAACAATAATTACTAGGTTCAAGCAAAATCCTAATGCGGTTATGGTTGCTAGTGACGTAGCAGCCCGAGGACTCGATATTCCGCTTGTTGAGCATGTAATACATTATCAGTTGCCACGTTCTGGAGATGTATGTATTCTTTTGATTGATTCTAGATAATTGATTATCCGTTTAACACTATTAATCTTTATTGTAGATATATGTTCATCGAAGTGGCCGCACAGCTCGTGCGCATAATGAAGGTGTAAGTTTGATTTTATGCAGTCCAGAAGAATCAATTTTATACCGAAAAATTTGTCAAGAATTAAAAAAAAGTTAGTTACATTTCATAATATATTATTTACTGTATACACATTTTTTCTTATGAAGTATTTCTTCATTTTATTTAAAAGCTGATGGGATAGCTAACTTTCCTATCAATCGTGGAATAATAAATGCCATGAAACAACGCATTGATTTTGCAAGGCAAATAGATCAAGAAGAACATAAATTGCAAAAGGCATGTATTAATTAAGTATATTCCTGATTTTAATGTTTTATATTAATTTCCATTCCCCCCCTCCTTTAGAGTAACCATGATGATGAATGGTTTAAGAAAGTTGCGGATGATCTAGATGTGGATTTGGACGATAGTCCTTTCAAAAAGATTAATAAAGGGAGAAATAATAATGATTCCGCTAAATATAAAATTCAAACATTAAGGCTTCAGTTAAAAGAATTATTATCTCAACCATTAGTTCCACGTGGAATTTCTACTAAATATTTAACAAGCGGCATTGTACGTGATTTAGCTGATAGATTGTTAGATAGTTCATCATGTAAGAAAATAGTAATTTGCCTTCATATTAATGAAACCTTTATTTATTTACGGATTTTTTTTTTTCCAGGTAATTCTAAAATATTGGGAGTACAAAAATCCAAAGCAACTGAAGATTTGAAATCAAAGAAATATTACAAAAAAACTTCCTTTAAAAAATAATTTGGGTTACTCTATTTATTCTACTTAATTCAATGTAAAATAAAAATTCGTGTAATTTAAATTTTATATTTGTCATTTCGGGTATTACGAAAACCACTAGCATGAATGTGATAAAAAAAAACCGCTGCAATGCATATGTACAGTACATCCCTGGATTAATGTAGTAAATTTGACCAGACTTACACTACGCGGCCTACTTTAAAGGATTACATTCGGCCGGTAAATGATATTGATAATCTAGCAATCCCTAAATTCAGACCGGCTGAATGCGTTGTTATCGTAAGTTCGAATGATCTAAAAAAAAAAATTATCGGGTAGTTTTTAAAGTGCCGTGTATACGTTCTTCGGACACGACATTATTGATATGAGAGAATTACCGTCAAAGGAATCCGCTCTATTTAAACAAATTCTTGCAAGTACCATTGTATCATTTCAAAAGAGTTGATACTGATCAAAATTTTTCAAGCATTAAGCTAAAATTTTTCGTATGACTAGAAATACTATGAATTCAAACAGTATAAGAAAGGGTTGAAAGCAACCGATCAAATACTGAAAAAGTATCCAGAACATGGGGGTAATACTCTTAATGCTTATACTGTAGTTTCTTCGGACAAATCTAGCTATCAATTTTTGAATATATCAATCTAAAAAAAAAATTCCAATAATTTAGAAACGTTGGCTATGAAAGGTTTATTCCTTAACCACATGGATAAGAAAGAAGAAGCCCGAGAATTCGTGCGAAAGGGCCTTCGATCTGATCTGAAAAGCCATATTTGTAATTATCATATTTTCATTAAAAAATTATTTACGTAATCTATTCACTTTTGTAAATGCAAAAATGTAATTTTATTCTATTAGGCTGGCATGTATACGGATTATTACATCGATCCGATAAAAATTATGGCGAAGCATTAAAATGTTATACTCAAGCTTTAAAAATCGATAAGGTATCATTATAAGAGATAAAGTTTACTTAAAAATTATTATAACCACATTAAATTGTAATTATGTGATAGGATAATATGCAAATTCTTCAAGATTACTCTCTACTTCAAATCCAAATGCGAAATTACGAAGCCTTTAATGTGAGGAAAAAAAAAAACTAGCAATAAGGTTAACATAACGTGATTCTTGTAATAAGTTTATTTTATATTGTTACTTATAAATATCAAGGAATCACGTCACCACCTTTTACAATTGAGACCAAATAATCAAAGATATTGGATAGGGCTTGCAATATCTTATCATCTATTAGGAAATTACGAAACTGCTGAAAAAGTTTTGGAAAAATATGAAGAAACACTTAAGCCTAGTCAAGCGAATTATTACGAGCATAGCGAAATGCTATTATACCATAATCTTATTATAGAAGAAAGTGATAATACTGAAGCGGCTTTAAAACATTTAGAATCTATTAAAGACAATATTTGTGATCGTCGAACTTGGAAAGAAAAACGAGGTTTGCGCTATTAGCTAAAATACTAATTAGGATTTTTTTTTTTTTTTTTTTTTTCTTTTATTCCTGAGCTTATTAAAATAAATCTTGATTTAAGCCCAGTTTCTATTGAAACTTAATAGACTTCAAGAGGCAAAAGCGGCGTATGAAGAGTTAATTAATGATAATCCAGATTGTTACGGTTATTATGAAGGATTACAAATAGCTAAAGGGATTAATACTAGTATGTGTGTCATTTGATTCATCCACAAAATAAGATGATCAACTCAAAAAAAATTAAAAAATAAAAAAAGAAATAATTATTTAAATGTTGAGGATAATTCTCTAGACGACTTGACACCTGAATGCGAAGAAAAAATCATCGCTTTATATAAAGATCTAACCCAAAAATATCCAAAGTCGAATGCGATCAAATTATTTCCTTTATTATATACGACTGGTCGGTCCGTTTAGCAAAATCTGCTTAATATTAAACTCATTTTTATACAATTTCATTCTAACCTTATTGAATTTTTTATTTAGGTGATAATTTTAAAATGTTCGCTGACGAATATGTACGAGCTGCTCTTCGTAAAGGTGTCCCGTCCTTATTTGTCAATCTCAAAAAGCTCTATAGTGATCCCCAAAAAGAAGCTATCATCGAGCAATTAGTTGAAGGATACCTTGAATGTCTAAAGAAGCATGGTACTTTCTCACAAGGTAAAAATGAGGATGATGTGAAGGAACCTCCTACCGCTTATCTGTGGACTCTTTATTTGCTTTCTCAGCATTATGATAATAAACGTGACACAACGAAGGCTCTCATGTTGATTAACGAAGCAATTGAGCATACACCTACCTTAGTCGAATTATATATGACAAAGGGCCGCATTATAAAGGTCCGAATTTTGACAACTAGGTTAGGTACCATAAAAAAAAATTAAAAAAACAAATGATTCTTACCAAACATTTAAATGTTGAATATATGATAGCATGGCGGGAACCTAAATGAAGCCATGAAGGTTATGAATGAAGCCCGTGAGTTAGACCTTCAAGACAGATTCATCAATTCGAAATGTTCAAAGTATATGCTCAGAAACGATCAAACTGAGGAAGCTGAACAAAAAATTGGATTATTTACTAGGGTTTGTATATTATAACTGATGCATTTATACTATGTTATATTTTCTGTAAAATTATCTTACACGCACATTCTTAAAGGGTGATGCACCCGATCCATTAACAGATCTTGCGGATATGCAATGTATGTGGTTTGTCCTTGAAGAAGGTGAAAGCTATATAAGGCAAAAACAATGGGGTAAAGCTCTAAAACGTTTTCACCAAATTGAAAAGGTATGGCCTATCTATGCGTTATTTAGGGAATCAGCTGTAATTAAACGTTATTCATTATAAAAAATTAAATATAGCACTTTGCTGATATAACGGACGATCAATTCGATTTCCATACCTACTGCTTACGTAAAGTCACTCTTCGGGCATATTTGAGGCAGATATCAATAGACAAGCATACTCTATTAATCAAAATTTTTAAAACGCATATTTAATAACTTTGTTTCTGAAAATTTCACATTAGCATGTTACGGCTGGAGGATCAATTACGTTCGCATCCGTATTATTTTCGTGCAGCACAAAGTGCAATAAAGGTAACAAAATTCAGCATAATTGATCATTTTTTCTATTCATTATTACATCTTTTTGTGAATTAGATCTATATCGAATTGTACGACAATCCAAATACAATTACTATTAGTGAAGAGAATGAAGACTATGGTAGGTTCATCATCATTTACTTTTATATAGATATATATTACAGTCAGATTTGATAACATATTTGATTTTAGCAAATATGACTGAGGGCGAAAAGAAGAAATTAAAAAGCAAAGCTAAAAAAGCTGCACATAAAAAACAGAAGGAAGATGAAGAAAGAAAAGGTTTGTCCAAAATTTATTTACTATATTGTTGTATGCGGCAATTAAACGCATATTTTATTAGAAAAGGTCAAGGAAGAGATTAAAAGAAAAGTTGATAAACCTCAGGACGATGATCCAGATGGTGAAAAGCTTCTTAAGGTTTGTCATTTTAAAGTTACATACTATGAACTTTGTGTCACATGAAGTCTTAATACAATAAGAAAATTATTTAATTAAGCAAAAAAATTTCTTACGTCGTAAAGCTTTTATTTATTATTTATCGATTTATTTATTTGTCACATGACGATAATTTATAGACTGAAGATCCTTTGGGAGAAGCATTCAAATTCTTGCTTCCGCTGCAAGAACTGTCACCAAAAAGGATAGAAACACATCTACTAGGATTTGAGATCTATCTACGAAAGAGTATTATTATAACTTAATATTATACTATATGTATTCAGTTATTGAATTATTTCTAATTTACTCATATTTGCATGGTATTTTTGTCTAGAAAAGTATCTTCTTGCTCTTAGAGCTCTTTTACGCGCTCACAATATTGATAAAGAAAATGCTACATTACATAATGATATAATACGATTTCATTTAGCGGGTAATAATAATTTGTTATTGGCTACTTTGAATTTTTTTTTTTAAAAAAAACAAAATTTCTCTTAACTAATAATTTCCATTTAGTATCTAATGATCATGAAATTAATCCAACAATAAATCAAGTTATTGCTTCTGAAAAAGTAATCTTGATGCCAGAAAACAAGCCTTTGATCGAATTTAATGAAAGATTTTTAGAAAGAAACAATGGCGTATCACACTTATTAGTTGGAGCTGAAACTTTGTATCTTATAGACCCAGAAAAGAAGCATGAAGCTGAAAACCTTTTGTTAATGGTCGATTCTGAAGAATACGCTAGTACAAGGACATTAGAGGTTCGTATATCTGATTATTATTATTATTCTTTTAGTTAACCGTCTTAAATTTTTGATTTTTTTTCTACTAGAATT